CCGTTAATAAGATTTTTCTAGCTCAAAAATACCGAGCAGCAACATGTCCCACATCGCAACCCCCGTTAGTTGCCGACATATTATTTTTTACTTCCCACCGCGATTGGCAATTATATTATACTAACGAAATACAGGTGAATGTTTATTAAAAATAACTATTAGGCCGACCGTTTCGAGTCTTGGTCCGAGAAAAAGTATAGTTAGCGAAAACAAGGATGGTGCGGCACGAGTGAACGAAGTGCGATTGATCTGAATTAAATTAAGAGACGAGTCGGTTTTCGTGGAGATCGAGTACGATTGCTTCCGTTTCATCGATTAATAGAAAAAATTGTCGATTAATAGAACAATGAAGTTACTTCCGGATTTGACTATTTTTCTTCGGCGAGTACGTCGCGCACCTTGAATTTTCGCAACTCGGATCTTCCCGATATCAACGGCGAGGTATGTTTCTTGGCCGAAACAGCGTTACGTCCGATTGGAATTGCAAATAAATCAACGGCTTGGTGTAATCTCGTGACCTTCCGTGATAATTTGCCGTTACTTCAGAATAAATTAAAGCAAACATTGAATAACCCGTGGGCACGTGGATTCTAATAATGCAAATCGCGCGAATGTAGCTCGCAGATGTGCCGAGTAGATTTATTACATAATGTAAATTTCAAGCTGAACCGGAATCTCGCTCGAAGCCGCGTTAATTGCGTACGAAGCGAGTTTCAGCTATAGTTTAGCGAGTCGTCGCGGTTACGCCGAGTTTAAAATCGATTTGTCCAGAATTCACCGCGCGGAAAAAATCCGATGATAAGTAAGAACATTCCGCAAGCGTATCGCTCGATTTGCCAAAGCACCTCGCGATAAGTCAATACGTATTTAATTTCTGGCCTTGACTGATATTTTCCTCCTTGAGAGGCAATCTCTCCTCCTCCCCTTCTTCTCCCCTACCTCCGCCACTCAATAATACCGTGCGGGGCAAATGGTTCGCGCTGCAACCTGCTGCTGTTTTGCTTTATCCTCAACTCCGCTCATGCTTACAACTACAATTACCGGTTAATGACTGGAAAACGCGGAATCGATACTGGAAATGTATGGCGCGGCGTACTAGCCGAATCACAATGTAGTGCGCGCGCGCGCTAATTTACGAGCTCGTTATACCCTCGCATCTAATTTGGTCCAGCATCTGTTCGTACAATCAACGAACTAATACATAAAGCAAACGTACATTTGCGGGAGAGGCTCGCAACTTCCGCTTTCTATTTCAATATTGACGATATTTCCTAACAAATTTATAGATTGCACGTGTGTCGTTCCGCGCGTATTCCTGCGCGGATATCTCCCTGTACACCGTAATATCGGGTCATTAAGTATGAAATATCCGATATCATGAACCAAGTTTGATATCCTATATCTGATATTTCACTTTGATAGTTCTTTATTTTTTTTTTTATCGTGAAGGTACGTCATCGGTCTTTCAGACGCACGTTTTGGTTTGTGATTATCTGTCGAATTGCTTTTTGCAGATTAAATTTTGTCAACCATGGATAAGTAAAAAATTCGCGTTATCTCCGAATATGAGTTCCGTCGTGGAACTAATGCATCGCAGACAACTCGAAATGTCAAATGTTTGGCAAGGAACGCGCAAGGATGTGGCTAATAAACGCACAATACGTCGATGGTTTGAGAAGTTCCGATCTGGCGATTTTGATCTTCTAAATGAACCACGTGGGCGACCTGAGAGCAGGGTGGATAATGATGAGCTGAAAGTTGCAGTGGAAGCGGATACATCTCAAACTACGCGTGAATTAGCAGCAAGGTTTGACGTTACTATTCCAACAATATGAAACCATTTGAAACAAATCGGTAAGGTTAAGAAACTGAATAGATGGATTCCGCGTGAATTATACAGGCGTCAGAAGAGAAATCGTTTCGAAACTCGCCTTTCTTTGCTATCGCGACATAAAGGTGAACCATTTTTACACCGCATTGTCACGTGTGATGAAAAATGGATTCTTCTCGACAATCGCAAGCGTTCGACACAATGGTTGGATAAAGATGAAGTAGTGCCAAAATACACCCCGAAACCGAATATTCACTAAAAAAAAGCTAATGATGCGCGTTTGGCGGTCCAGCGCTGGTATTTTCCACTACAGCTTCATGAGACCTAGTCAGTCGATTACGACGGATGTCTGCTGTAACCAATTAGACGAAATGATGATGGGATTAAGCAACCGAGATTGGTAAATAGAGACAAGCCAATCCTCTTGCAGGACAATTCTCGACCACGTGTCGCACGAATAACGTTGCTCAAACTACAAGAGCTGGAAACTCTCAAACTACAAGAGTTGGAAACCCTCTGTCACCCGTATTTCCCAGACTTTGCACCAACTGACTACTATTTCTTCCAGGCATTGGACCTTTTGCAAGGAACTTTTGCACTTTTTGCAAGGAAAAATATTTAATTCCCAACAAGCTGTAGAAAACGCCTTTCGCGATTTTATCACTACTCGTTCTCCAGGCTTCTTCGCTGCCGGCATTAACAAGCCACCGTTAAGATGGCAAAACTATATCCAAAGTTTAGGCGCATATTTGGATTAATTATACTGCTTCTTGCTTGAAATATGATAAACCAAACTTTCAGTTCGAAATCGGACATTTCATACTTAATGACCTAATATAATAACGTTTCTGTACATAATCATAACTCTGTACATAATTAGAACGTATGACACGCACACATTCGCCATCAACATTAATCAGTGGAACAAGCGTTTATTGTCGGGAAATAATTCAAAATAATAAAGTCATGTGCAATGTGCTTAAATTAATAGAACGAACATTACGAATCCATATCGTGCCTTTATCAGCAGGACAGCGATCTTAAGCGTTATCGAGACGCAGATGTAGATATGATATCGCCGACCTCGATATTATTTACCATATCGCCGCATCTTATTCGCATCTGAAAACACCGACGTACCGTACGGTGCTTGCGTGCGCGCGTGTATACGTCTATCGAGCGAAACATTAGACGTAATAGGCCATAAGCTCCGTAATGACTTTGAGATTGCTGCGTCTATGAAATTTCTCGGGGTTGGGCATGCACTTAAGCAGCTATGTAGGTTACGCGACGCGATAAATTTTCAAAATCACTTTATTATCAACATTTTGAATGCGTGCGTGCGCGCGCGCGCGCGTGTGTGTGTGTGTGTGTGTGTCCTATATATGTATACCTATATATAGACTATATCAGGGACTCGGACCGAATGAAAATATTGGTCCGGTTCCAATTCCGATCTACTAAAATATTTAATAAAAGTTCTGCTTTTTCGATTCCGGTTTTCTGAACAATGAAAGTACCGTTTAAATTATGGTTTTTTCGATTCTAGTTCTTTAAACTTGTTTTCTTATTGATATATAATTTGGACACAAGCAGATCAAGACGGGGATACTACTTAAATACCGGCTCTCTCGGCACGAGGTCATCTGGCAGAAACAAAGGCAGTGCTCATTCTAGTTTATCATAGTTATATTGTTATAGTTTTAATGGCTCTCCGAAAAAGCTTTCGCTGTCAGCGTCCTGCTATCGCTACCGATGACTTTTTTTTTGCTGTGGATTCGACTGCTTCCGACGGCCCGTCTTTATTTTGGCGAATGATGATTATTCCTAGTTTCTTATGGTTGTTCTTCTCGATATTATTTCCTGCAACGAGAATTAATTAGTCGCAGTCTCTGTTTGCCCCGATACCGATATAATCGTTACGCTGCTAACCGTGGGGCGATTCATCTTGTCGGTTCACCTGTGACAGTAGCTCCGGCTTTACACCTATTCAGGTGCTCCGTGCTTCCGCTCGACTTCTCCTTGCGCCGTTTTCTTCCGTCCGAAGTGTCGGCAAATACATATTGAGAGGTTCGCCCCGCAAATCACCCCAACGGGGCAGAAGACGCACAGACCGAAAATTTCTGCTCTATGCTTTATCTGCGCATTCCAAACGACCTAACATCCAGCAGGGAACGTGTTTTCCCGAGGAGTTCACTCCTTGTGACGAACAACAGCTACGTCACAATATATGTATACACAATTTCGCGAGGAAACCGACAAGTTTTTAGAATGTATCTCGAGCTTATTCTATACAAAAATTTCAGATATTTTATAGATCAATTCGGCTCGGTTATCGAGATATGAAAATTTTAATTCTTGTCAGTAACGCAAATTTTTTTATAAAAACGGCTCCGCCTTGCTTGGCGCTTATTTTTGTGGGGTTATTTGAACTTTTGTGTATGACAATAAACCAGAGACCCGTTAACAGTAAGTTCGCAGAATAATAGAGACCATAGAGATAATATTCGCATTGAACTAGGAAAATTAATTACCAGCGACAACTAAGTAGATAACTAATATGTTTGCAAATAGAAGTGCATATTTTGAACAAATAATGTGATTAAAAGACATTCTAAAAGTCTGCCGGTTTCCTCGCGGTACACTATATATATAAAGATATATAATAAATACAGGGTGGCTCACATAACTCTTTATAACTTGATATCTTGGAAACTTTCGTCGATTTTAATGATCTAAGTTTTGAATTGTAATGGATCTGAAGGGGCCTTCAAACTGCAATAGAGGTTGATCCGCAACCTCTGTTGCGTGGGTGGAATGGGGGTTAACTTGAAAATTTTAATATATATGTATACGAGGGCAAATCAATACCCGTGTTAGTAATGAAGACGCAAGTTTTTCACAAAAATTTTTTTTTAGTCGTCTACGTAATCCCCTTTTAAGAAGATACACTTTTTTTCAACGCTCCTACCATTTTTTTAATCCCTCTGAAAAATACGATTTGTCGATCTCTGCACAATAGGCCTCTGTTTCGGTGATGACCTCCTCATTTGACGTGAATCTCTTTCCACTGAGCCATTTTTTTTCAAGTTTAAAAACAGGAAGAAGTCGCAGGGGGCCAAATCCGGAGAGTACGGTAGATGCGGCAACAATTCGTAGCGCAATTCAATCAATTTGACTGTGGCGATTGCGGAGGAGTGAGCCGGTGCATTGTCGTGGTGGAACAACACTTTTTTTTCGCCAAATGGAGTCGTTTTTTCTTCAATTCAACGTCGAATCGCTCCAATAAATCAGCATAGTACTGCCCCGTCATAGTTTTTCCCTTCTCCAAATAGTCGATAAACGTCACACCCTGCGTATCCCAAAAAACAGTGGCCATTACTTTTCCCGCCGATGGAACCGTCTTGGTCTTCTTCAGAGCACGTTTACCGGGTGAAGTCCATTGTTCCTTGGTCTCCGGTGTGTAGTGATGAATCCATGTTTCATGAACGGTTACGACTTGACGCAAAAACTCCTGCGGATTGCGCTTAAACAGCTCCAAGCACTGCTTCGCAACTGATAGCCGCATCCGCTTGTTGTCCACCGTGAGCAGTCGCGGCACCCATCGGGCCGACAGCTTTTTCATTCCCAAGTTATCATGCAAAATATTGAGTGCCGTTCCGTACGATACGCCTACGTCCTCTGATACTTTATGCACTTCTGTTCGGCGATCAGTGAAAATCATGTCGTGGATCTTTTCAATGATTTCCTCAGTAATCACGTCTGCCGGGCGGCCTGGGCGCCCCTCATCAAAAACAGATAAACGACCACGTTTGAATTCGTTGAGCCACCAATATCTGACGGTTGTCATAGATGGTGAAGGGTTCCCATAGACGGCATCCAACTTCGTTTTTATTTCTTTGCATGTTTTCCCGTCTAAAAATAAAAAGCGAATCACGAATCGATATTGCTCTTTTTCCATTGTATCGAAAAACATCAAACACAGTTATTACGAATTGCTGTCAAATCAAAACTATCGCATGAATCAGTCTGAAATTTTGAATAGTGTCGTTTGAAAGATGGTAGTACACGATGGTATTGCCAAACTGCATCAGTAACGCCGCCTGTCTCCAAACACATGTACTTATTGATTTGACCTTGTGTATATCTACGAGGTCTGTTCAAAAAGTATCGCGAATTTTGAATTTCCGC